CCATCTTATTTCTCAGATAAGCAACTACTTTTCTAGAATCCTTGGCAGCAATACTTTGCTGATCATGACCTCCGTGATCTCATCTCAAAAGACGTTGGAAGAACATTCCCAGAACTTGAGTTTTTCCAACAGGAGCACATACGTCGTATGATGTGCGATATCCTTTTGATATACGCAAAAGAGAACTCATATGTATCGTATAAGCAGGTGAATATTCGTCCTCAGTTCGTATCCCTGCCTGTGCATGTAGTAGATATTTAGGGAATGCATGAGATACTTGCACCACTGATGTTTGTCTTGTTTTCGGATCAGCAATCATTTTGCCACTGTAGCGAGACAGGAGGATTGAAGTAAGTGATTTCCTGGGAATTTTTATGATTTCTATTTGGATGGTCCCTGGGTTTTCAGTAATCTGTCTGAAGAGGATCGCGCCATCCTTACCCATGTCTACGACCCCAACTACTTAGAAAGCGATAGCTAGTGCGTCTTCTTTCACATGAATTCGCTAAATATGTGCTTTTTTGAACATCACTTGGTAAATTTCAGTGGAATGTTCTGCGAAGTAATGTTGGAAGTTGCAAAATGGTATGAAGACAATTCATCCTCCCCGAAACCTTCCGTGAACGAATCTGGGCCATTCATGCGGTAGTATTCACATCGTTTAAGCAATCTACTTGCGATTGAGGCAACATTCCAGAGTCCAAGATGCAACTCCCACAAGTCATATCATGCGTGAACTAGTCGTGATTGGTGAAAGACTGCATTCTGTTGATCCCATTTTGGCCGACCACCTCAGTCATCTTGACATTCCACCACAGCTCTATGGAATGTGGGTTTTTATCCCAAAATGGACTCTAGCACTTTAGGAAGCTTTCAAGATGTCATGTCATATTTCCAATTACTTTTCATTTTAGAAGATGGCTGCGATTGCTGTTTGGCCGCGAGTTCTCTATACATGATCTCCTCTATGTCTGGGACGTTCTTTTATGCGATCGCCCCATGGAAAGAATGGTTGAATGCATTTTTATTGCTATGCTGATACAGATTCGACATCTTTGTAAGTTTTGATAAGATTCCAAATTTGCATTTTTTTAAACGGTTGCTGCTGTTTCGCTCACGTTCAATTTATCACACGTAAGCGATCATTAGTCACAGAATGTGTATTAATTGGTAATTGCCATCATCCAGCCAACTACTTTAATACTAGCAGCCGTACACTCGTAAGAAGCGTCAAAAGCGACCATGAGTTAGCCTTTACTTTGTTGGATAATTGTTGATGCATTTGAAGTGTTGCAATCGGATTACGGTGGATGTTTGCAATATCTGATGCGTTATCCTCCAGTCGTAGATGTTACCACTTTTATACAACAGGCTCTGCATTTTAGAAACCCGAAGGTAAGGATGACAGCCTTCTTCTTACGCTAAATTACGCTTCATTTTCCTTTTTTTTTGTTGATATTTCAGAAAATTCTAAAAAACCATAACTTTAACTGAAAATGTGTTTTAACATTTTGCTACAACGGGTAGTAGACGTTTTTGCGTAGGTAAAACTTTGTCCATTATTTTTTCTTTGCTACAGAAGTACGCACGTCCTACTTCTCTGGGAGCTTTGAACAACTTTTCTCACATGACAGTAACCGGTGCTGACCACCCTAATCGAGGCCGTCAGGGCCCTCCAACTACCAATAACCTAGAGAGTCCGTTGGAAGAGACAGCAACTGGCTTACGCAACTTAACATCATCAATGCTATCGAAGGTCAAAAATACTGTTTTGGAGAAGCCACGTGAGTACGAACCATTTTAGGGAACCAATAAATGCTTCTTTTCCCAATATCAATGTTTTAGAGGTAGTGGCAGCGTTAGGAGCTTCTCCACCTACAACTCCGAGAAAAGTAGCACAAAATGTTGTCAAACAAGCGCCATCATGGGAGAGGGTGAACCATGCTTGGCTAAAGGCTTTTCATGTTGTTAAGTGCATTCAATGTGTACGATTTTTCCAGGAATTGCATTTGATGGAGGAACAAGTCGCATGTTTGCAAATTCGATTGAATGAGAAAGATGTTGTATGTCAGGAAGCAGCACGAAATATAGGTAAGGCAACATGTTTCAGCATTGCCTATCCCTCTGTTTCTGTGCATTATCTTTCAAATGTTGTCATTTCTTTTTTTTT